GAGAGAGGGGAGAGAGAGAAAAGAAGAGATAAATTAAAGAAAATGAAAATTTTTCAGGATGAATGATAGATGGGTAGATCGTTGACAAACGTGACAAACATAGCTGCTAATCATAAAAAATATACACATTAGTTGGTATTCTTCCAAAAATTGATTTTAGCTATCATATTTTATTATTAATAACAAGCTGATCAAGGTATAATTACTTTCTAATTTTAATCTCAACTATTAAAATTATCTGTGACAAATTTCATGACAAGTCTTTTTTTTTAGTTTCATTTTAATTTACCTTTCTTTACAAGTAGTATTTTATAATGTAACAATGTTTAAGTTATACATTTTTAATTTAAAATCATTTGAGAAATAATTTAGATGAATGAAAAATTTATTTACCATATGATTACCTGTATCTTTTGATGTAATAATTGAATGTGATTATCTTTCGGTGTGATAATTGATAAGGATTAAATTACGAACTCCATATGATACTTTCAAAATTTTTAAAAATTCAAGAGGTGTTAATTGATGCACAGTATATGGACATAATTTCATGTATGCATTACACTCTGTTAATAATTTACTCTTTCCGTAATTTAAATTTTGCATTTCTTTTTTTTGCATAATTTTAAAAGCTGCTCTGCACAACGATAAAAATAATTGGGACTTTTTTTTTTTTTTTTTTGCTGAAAATTCGTTACTTGATATATACTAGAAATTTCGCCAAATCAACTATGAAAGTGGTAAATAAACAATTGATAATACACTCAGTTGCTTCGGTGATGTCAGCGGCTTTAACAGTAGCTATTATGATGGAGATATGAAAAGCTGCTTGATTCATCTAGTAATGAATTAGCAGTTTCTGCTCATATATTTCTTTATTCATTAGTTGATCATTAATATTAGAAAAATATAAAAATGAGTGAGACAAGAAATGACAAAGTTTATTCAACATTTCAACAGTTTCAATATGAAAAAAACTATACAAGTTTAAGCAATAAAATATACTTTGAAACCAAGACCTAGATTCAAACAATTAAATCGACCACAATGAACCACTTTTTGTAAACCTTGTGCTTTCACAAGAAACAATATTTTGAAGCTCATTTTAATTTAGAAGTTGGAATTTTCTCATCAAATGCAATTAATTTAGTTGATATTGTATTTATAGAACGAACTCTTTCTTCCAGCTGCTCATGTAATTTTTTTTCGACTATTGATCGCGGTTTCCAGTCATGACAATAACCCGGAAGCAACGGAGCGTGCTGCACAAATGTGCAAACCTGAAAGTTGCTCAGTCTTTTTAAGATAAAAATAAAAAAAAATATGTCGCGTAACTTGTTTTATTCATCTTCGTCTTCATCGGCTAGCACTACAAACTTCATCTAGAAAAAAAAAAGAAAAAAAAGTGCTCAATACAGCTACTAACCAATGTTGAAAATGAAAAAAGTTGTCCCATGAGATTGTAAATTCTACTCAAGCTTAGTAGTGAGTTTGCAGTCTTAATTCTTCCAAAAAATAAAAGTCACTGGATTTGGCTGATCTGATCATCAGCAACATTCAGTAATAGCTGGATTACCAAAATATAAACATTGTAAAGCATTTGACTAATTTTCAAAAAGAAAAAACAAAACTATGTTGCAAGCATTACTTGACACTCATACCTCCAAACAACTTGAATATTTACATACTATCTGAAGTGGTTTTCCCATCCGTAAAAAAGTATTCAAATGTTCGAAGCATGAATAAAAGTGAACCTCACTTTATGTTATGCTATCATAGCCAGATATCATTAGACTTGGAACTTGCTTGATGAATAAAAGTCTAAACTGGAACAGGAAAAACAACTACCTCTAGAGGGTACAACACTGAGTCAGACAGTGCATGCACAAAATGTTCCGCATCGAACTGATGAGCTTCATCGGCTGATTCAGTGGGAACCAACCTAAATTTCTTCTCGTTGAGGAGATTTACTTTCTAAACATCATTTTCTCGCAGAAAGTGTCTACAATGAATTGTCTAAAATCAGAAACTGTCAAGCATACAGAGGAGCGCAATTAACCGGTCAGTTAGTGCAAAACGCCCTTCAGATACTCATGACATGGAATCCTCAAATCTTTCCGTACTTGCCGTTAGATTCTAATTTGAAGAGTGTAAGAAGATAGAGAATACATTACCAAGTGAGAGCAGCAAAGCGTTCGCCAAGTTGATTACATAGCAGGGCTCGAATTTGTGCAAAATAACACAAACTATTACTGTTATCCGTCACTGAAACTATATCGCCTTTTCGAAATAGACGCTCACACTGTAAAAAAAAAGAAAAAAAGTCACGGACAATGAAGCTGTTAAACCACTTTATGACCAACAGTGTTTTAATTTCACAATATTATGACACAATACGTGACTTTCCACTCGTAAATAAACACTGGTTGAACTTGACTACTGCAAAGAAATTCATAAAGTAATCCTTCAGTTCTTCGAATCTACACTATTGTTTGGATAAAATGTGCCGCCTATGAAACAAACATAATTTACAAACCTTACCGAAACTCTGAAGCATACTTATCACTTATTTTGAGCCCAATCACCTTAGCAACTACAATTTTCTATTGGATAAATAAGTTTAACAGAAATCTTAACAAAATGTTAAATCTAGCACTTGTCAAAAAAAGGAGAGGATTTTTGCTATCGGTAATAAATAAGCTGGTGCAAACAATTAAAGCATTAACATACCTTATCCCATAATGCATCATGACACCGTAATCCTGCCTTTTGACTTGTTGCTTTTTGTGGACGAACCGATTTGAAAAAAGATGTCCGTCGATTGGCATATTTGTTGACTGGCATATTTATACCGATTCGTCGTCCGCTTAAAATTTACAAGCAGTGATTTTTCATCGAAAAACAATATTTTTCCAGCAATCATATTCCGAAATATTCTGAAATTGCCAGCATCATATCTGGAAATCCTTTGCACATTCCGCCAAACTTCTTGGAACCAGAGTCTTAGCTTATTTCTGCTCTGAATTCAGGTTTAAGGAGTAACAAAATACAAAACAGTTATTTCAACCAGCTTGGCAATTAGAAAAAATAGATAAGATCAATACCTCTGAGAGTCGAACAGAGGGCCCAAGGGTATACATACCTGATTGCAGCGTTCTTGCTTTGTCGTGATAAGCCACATCGAGAAGCCGCTCGTCTTGCGACAATACCAAGAGAAGGTAGCTGTAATCATAAATAACATCGAAGATTAGTAAAACTGACATATTTGAAACAGGAAAACTGGCTCGACATCTTGAATAACAGGAAATCCAGCCAAAAGCCATAAAATGGACCGATCACATATGGTGACATAGAATGCATCATTAACCCACAAGTCTTATGCAATATTTAGCAGTATTATGTCATATATATATATATATATATATATATATATATATATATATATATATATATATATATATATATATATATATATATATATATATATATATATATATA